TAAATATAATATTATATAATTATAATATTATAATTATTATAATATATTATTATAATTATATGTATATATATTATATATTATTATTATATTATATATATATATTAATTATCAACGATCATGCCATTTTTTGGCATTTTTCCAGCGTCGCTCGTTGTCCCCGAGGATCCAACAAGAGGAGTTGTCTGTGATGGGCTCGAGTTGCACGGCGAGCGTGATCTGCTCGAACTTCTCCTCGAAACGGACGATCGTGTCGCCAAGTCGACTGAATTGCTCACGAACACCTTCGAGATCGGCGATCGGTGAGTCTCTGTCGGAGCTGCGAACCTCTTCGGACCAGGACCCGACCAAGGAGGATGACGAGGAGGACGACGAGGAGGAGGAGGGAGACGAGGAAGAAGACGCGGACAGCTTTATCAGTAAAACGGCCAGTGCGGGGACGAAGGAGCCGCGGATGAAATCCGTTGGGATCCTCGGGGTCTGCGACAGAACGAACCCCGGCTTCGGAACGAGAATGGACGACATACCGTACGTCGACGAGCGGGACGATCTGGACGAAACGGGGCACGTTTTCTCGCGCGACGATTGCCCGGCGATCAACGAGTCGCCGGCGAAAGGTTCCGCGAACGCTCGAAATAAATTGGAGAGAATGGCGAGCAGGGCTTCGTTCATCATCGAGTCGGCGTTGTGGGTGCAACGGTTGAACTCGAAAGTCGCGACGGAGAACGATCGATTGCGATCGAGCACGCCGGAGCAGCCAGCGAGGAGATCGACGATCGCCGGGAGCGAATTGAGGCTGCGCGGCGACGGGAAATCGAGGATTGCCGAGAGCCCGCCGAGGATGTGCAACAAGGACAAGAAGCTGCTGAAGATGATTCTGGTGATATTCTCGTCGTTCCTCGTCTGCTATTTGCCGATCACCATCACGAAGACGTTCAAGAACGCCATCGACTGGCGGGGGCTCAATATCGCTGGTTACATACTGATTTATCTGACCACCTGCATTAATCCCGTGGTGTACGTGGTGATGAGCTCCGAGTACAGAAGCGCCTACAAGAACGTGTTGCTCTGTAGAAACGATGCCGTCGCCAGAAACGGGGCTAGGAAACCGTGACACGCTATTTATTTCGATAGGGTAAGCGTAGGTATTATCTGCGGCTTCTCCAAAAACTATACGCCAAATACTGTGCTAGTGAAATAATATCTGAGGATAGGTGACAGTGACAGTGTACGTCGATTTTTTTTTATCAATTAATAACGTTTATTATTAATTAGGCTCGACGTTTTCTCAAAAGTCAATAAATGAGTTAAAAGTGCGATCGCTGTTACTTGTATGTCATAAATTGTCAATATTAAACATGTAAAATATTATGAGATTCGTTTTTAGAAGAAGGATTTGTATAATTTTTAGTTCATACCTGTAAAAAGGTCAGATTTTATTGCTTTTATAAAATACCGCAGCATTTGGGGCGTCTGCGGTAATACCCACGCTTACCCTATGTATTTCTACTAGCTCGAGTTGTAAATAACTTCCGTTTCTTCGTCGGATATTTGTTTTATCTTCTTTTTATTTACTTTTGTTTTGCTCTCCTGTTTTATTTATTTCGAACCCTTGTCTGTTTAGTGAAAGAAAAAAAACTCGTTTGTCCCCGGTGACTCGTATCGAACAGATATGAACAATATATTCCACTTAGTTGCGTCGGAAGTTATTTATGACGCGAGCTAACGTTCCGGAAAAGTGTCGAACGAAAGTGTTCGAATTTTGTACTTGAAACGAACGTACTTTAATTCCGATGCGTTTTCGGGTAACGGGGACAATGCGAGAAACTGGAGAAATTTGCGTATACGTGCGTAAATTTCGAAGAGTGTAAATGGTTTCGTTTGTTCGCTGGTATTCGAGTATGAAACATGGAAGTTTTAAAAAATGTCATTTATTTATTGTTCGATTAATAGATCTTATTACAATGTACGATATAACGACGCTTAAAATTGAATAAAATGGGTCTAATAATTGTACTGAAAATATTAACGAAGACCGTCGCTAATTGTAAGCACTTGAACGTGACGATTAACCCTCGTACGCTCTTACATAGATAATAATTGTTTCACGAAAACGGATTCTACGCTGATGTTCTTCCATTTTCGTTTCACCCTTTCATCCGATCGATCCAAGCGACCCGAATCAAATTGCGGCACAGTTTTGAAAGAACGACGAAAACTCGACTGTGTTTGAAACGGAGAAAGGGGTAAATTATCGTTCGCAAATTGCACGAGGATTAAATAGAATGTATGAGCAATCGATAGATAGGAACTATTCGCTAATGCATCAATTTAAATATATCTAATGTAAAATCGTCGACGTTCGTCGACGAACTTCTTCGCGGTATCATTAGCTTATCGAGTACGCAAACGAGAACGAAAACTGAAATCAAATCGAGAACGAATTGTGACCAGTGCGGTTGAGGAAGCGAACTACGCAACGCGTCGCATGCGCAGAGAGTCCCGCGCGGCGGCGCGGGACGTCCACCGGGTGAAAATCGCGATTCTGAACCAAGATGGCGTCGCGACGCAGAGCCCGCGTCCGATCGGGAAACACCGCTGTGCGGGACTCTCCGCGCATGCCTCGCTTTCCGTAGTTCATTTTCTTGACTGCACCGATTGTGGCGTATATGAATTGAATAATATTTACAAAATAAATAGGTTGCCGATAACAGTAAAACGTCATTCGATCTCGATGATCGTTAAATCTTTTTTTAACTTCGAAATAGACTCCGTTTAATTGGCGTCCAAATTAGGGGGCACCGCGGCGCTCTGCGTCTGTATCGTGCTGATGTTCATCTGCTGCTGCGGCGGCCATTTTTTCTCCCCGTCCTTCCCATTTCGCGATTCCGGCGTCACTTTGGTCACATCCAGCGAGTTCTTGTTCCTGTTTTTGTAATGCAATGCGCCCGCTGCGGCACCGAGGCCGGCGCCACCCACCATCATCAGATACTTCATGAATCTGAGCAACAAACGGTCAAGATGTCTGTTAATGGTCGACCCAAAAATTGTATTAATTTATAATAGTAATAATTAATGATGTTTCTGGTCGGAAATGTTTGTTACGAAAACGATTAACTAGATGTTATTGATGTTAGATGAAAATTTCAAAGGAAGCACTGTACCCGACGATTCCTATCAGCAAGTACACTTGCTTCACTTGGCTGACGAGCGAGTCGTCGAGCAGCACGCCTTCGTCCACCCAGAATATCGGGAACAGACATTCGGGGAAAGTTTTCATCAGCTTAAACTTCTCCACCGGGCCAACGAACATGCTGAACTGCAGTCTCTTGTGAGCGCTCAAAGGGGAGGCTGTCAACGGTTCGAAGTCCATGGAGAGATCGTGTTCTTCCTATAAAAGAGGAACGACCAAATTTATTTATTATTTATTATAATTTAGGATTAAGTTAATTTGTAGTAACTTTGTCGTTCGTTTCGCTGTTCGTTCTTTCAACATTCTGGGCATGCATGGATTACATTTTGAGACACAAGTCGAAGTTGTCGAAAGTTACTACGTTGTAAAATACAGGGTGTTCACATAATTATGGGACTCCCTGTATAGCAGAACTTGCCGGATTCGGATGGAGTCCGTCGACCATTTCCAAGTACTTCTCATCGGTTCCAAGAAAATGCGGCTGAGACCCGATGAGAGGTATACCTATGCATTTCTCCAAATCCATCAAATCTTTGTCCAAGCACGTCTCCGGAGTAGGGCAATAACAGCTGTCCTCCGGATTTCCTTTCATGTCCCCGAAATCGGCCGAATAATGATAGGTATTCACGCCTGCGACGGAAAAATAATAACATCAGCAACATAAAAGAAGAGATTACTCTGTGATGTATTTTCACTCGCGATATTTCGAACGTTCAACCCTTTGCACTCGAAGCCAGTTTAACTCTGAATTCAAAATAGTTTTTCTGCCTTGCAATATGTCCCAAAAGTATCTCGCAATCCGAAAGTGGCGGGTTCCTCGGGTCATTTCCGGATTGCGAGACATTTTTCGGACAATTGCACTATTAACAGTCATTAAAATATAAAGAAATTTGATAATGTCGGTCGAGTGCAAAAGGTTGGGTCGATTCACCGTAATAATTAACCGAAATCTGAAAAGAATCGATCGCAGATACACTTTCTCACGTTTCTAGTTCGCGTCGCGACGATCGCACCTTTGATTTTGCTGTCGTGACGATAAGGCGCGGAGATGCTCCTGCAAATCTCCGGCGAGAACGAGACGATGTCGTCTAGTTTCGTCATCAGCGGCGGAAAGATCGTCGAATCGGTCCCATTCAACGTGTTGCAACGTTCGCCGCTGTAAATCGCCAAAGCTGGCTCCCCCTTGAACGCGATCACGCGGCCCAGGTCCTTATGGTTTTTCATTCCGCGCAGCACCTTTATGCGCGAAGAGTCGATGGTCCCGTTTTTCTGCAGATTCATCGACCACCAATCAGAATTAATAGGTATCAGTAGGTATTATACTGCAATTTCTCAACGAAGACGAACTTTGATAAAGAAAATAAGACCAATTACGCCAATAAATTGAGAAATTCAGCTATTATTCTTTAACCTAAATATTTATATATTACCTGAATATATATTATTATTATTATTATATATATAATAATAATAATAATATATATTATATTATATTATTATATATATATATCTCAAAATATTTGATCAATGAAAGAACAAGTTACATTAAAAAGCGTAACGTAAAGAAACTGAGAACGTTCCGATTACTGTCAAGATTGACATAACCTATTTTCTTTTAGAAAGAAATTAATCAGAACTCAATCGACGCTCAGATTGCGCACAAAAATTGCCAATTTGTAAAGAGAAGAGATACGATTGTTCGAGCCTTGCAGTTCGTTTTTATAATCGTTGACAATCTCGGTAACTATAAAAACGAGCCGCGAGACTCGTCCACTTTCGCGTGCAAGCTGAGCGTCGATTAAGTAGAATTTACTGTATCATCGTACCGGTCCGAACAGGGACAGCAAGTATATATTATCGCCACTCGGGATTAGATTGTCCTTCTTTTCCTTGAGGGCGTTGCAAACCGTGGTACCGCCGAAATCCTTCACGTTGCAGTCGATCTTCACGCCGTCGAAGAGTATGTCCTTGGCCTTCACTTTCATAAAAATCGTCGACGGTTTCTTGAAGATACTGTCTACCGCTTTGTCTGTGGACAGAGTTAGATGTAGAAAATAAAAAAAAAAATAAACAACGCGGCGAGATCGAAGTTTAGAAGAGAAATAATACAGGAAACGGACGAAGAGATTCAAAATTCCAGCGTGTCACAATTCCTCCGAAAGAAATCGCCACGAAGCGAAGACAGCCTTCAGGATGGAGGAAGCGAAAGGTTACGGAGAAATCAATCGGACTCTTATTGTCAAGGTAGGATGTAAGTGCTTGTCGCCTTAGCTTGCCCTACCTACACGTGTCATAAGTACATCACGCGGACGGCGCGGCTTAGCAGGCTCTAGAACACTTTGGTAAGGCCGAGCCAACCTTCGCTTCTGATCGAAACGTGAGAATATCCGATCTATGGTTCCCGGGTAACAAAATACGTCAGGAAGATGGTAAATGGTAATAAACGGTTATACTCCGTCAACGATCGATATCTTTTCGCGTGCTCTCGTAGACGAACGTCCCGTCAACCTCGGCGCCCGACATCTTGGACGAGCCCGTGAATTTTTATTCGCCGCCGCACTTCTGTCAATATACAGGGTGTCCCAAAAATGTCTCGTAATCCGGAAATGGCGGGTTCCACGGATCATTTGAAGCAACTTCTTCCTTTACAAAAATGTTCTCCGAGGCACCGTTAATGAGTTATTAACGAAAAACAGTGACCAATAAGAATCGAGTACGGCTGACGCGAGGCGGCCCAGCCAACCAGCGCACGAAGCCCGGTTCCGCTCATTGGCTCGGTCGCATCGCGCCAGCCGAGTTCGCCTCTCATTGGTCATTGTTTTTATATATATATATATATATAAAGGAAAAAGTTGCTTCGAATGACCCGAGGATGTCGCCACTTTCGAATTGCGAGACATTTTTGGGACACCCTGTATCGTCGAACGTCATCCTGAGTAGAGTTGTGGAGACTTTTATTCGGCGATCGTTGCGTATTAAGTTGAAATTAAAATGTATCCAGTCAATTGACAAACATATTTCTACGAAATCGTTTAGGATTGCGTTCTCGAAAATCGGCGGATTCTGTGAAGTGGAAGTGGAGTGAAGTGGAAGTTATGTCAAGGTTATATTACTATTCTAATAATCTAATTGCTATTGTTCTTACTGGTAACTAAAGATTGTAAATTCTCAAGGTTGGCAACAGCAAAGATCGAAGATTCTCAAGGTTAACAATTCAGAAAATTAATCATTCTCATGCTTTAAAATGCTCGACATTGAAAATTCACGTTCATTCGATATTTAACTTCGCAGGAACCGGAGGGGTGGCGAAGAAGAACGCGCAACAAAGGTCCACAGTTCTTGTATTCCGATAATGTGTACTTACTGACGACTCCTACCGCACCCGGTTGCTCCTTCATAACAAACTTCAGCGTCAGAAGTGCCAGCAAATTAGGCAAATAGAGTTCTTCGTCGCCGGTAAGACCGTTGCTGAGAGCAGGATTGAAGTACCAGGTGACTTTCACGTTATACTCTATACTGTCCTCTTCGTCGTTGTCCACCTGATCCACCTTCTCCTTGTACTGACTGTGAACAAATCATTGTATCCTCGATTAATAGTTTAATATGCAGTATTATTTTAATTTTGTATATTTTAATTATTTTAATTACTATTATATAATTATATAATATAATTATTATTATAATTAATATAATTAATATAATTAATATAATTATAATTATTATTATAATTATTATAATTAATATAATTATAATTATTATTATAATTATTATAATTAATATAATTATAATTATTATTATAATTATTATAATTAATATAATTATAATTATTATTATAATTATTATAATTAATATAATTATTATTATTTATATATTTTAATTATTGTATCTTCCTGTAGGGTAGCGAAGCCGGTTATTGTAGGGTGGCCAATTGCAGTGCTTGCTGTTTTTTATTTAATTTTATCTTCTTCTTCAATGTTATTTCTTTATCCAGTTTTATCTTTTTATTCAATTTCATCTCTTTATTTAATTTTATTCAAATTTATCTAATTAATTATTTATTTAAATTTATTCATTCAATTTTATCTTTTTATTCAATCTGATCTTTTTATTCGGAAATAAAGCGAACGAAAGAATACAAAAATTTAATGTCTTACGACAATGATATTTTTTCCGGATGGTTTTACTTCTCGGAACTCAAACTACTTTTAGAAAAATTGGCGGAATAGCTCGAATTTGCTCTTTTAAATAGAATCCTCGAGGCACTCACTCGTAAAAAAATGGACCCACTTCCTGAAGAATCGGCTTCTGGCCCGCCGTTATTTCCACAGGATTCGTCACGTTGAACAGGTAAACCTTGAAGTCCAACGGAAAAGGAAGATTCGACCACAACCCTCGCATCTCGGAACCTGGTTTAAGTGCTACTTGCTGGAAAGACGAATTCGATAATCTGTTGTACTCGATTTCACCGGAAAATCCTGAGCTTCGTTCAGCAATTTTTCAAGACATATTTTTCAAGATATTTTTTACAGACTTATTGGCCTTTTCTGTTGTTCCTAATGCAACAGCAATTTAATTTCATTTAATCGCCAAAAATATTGACCTAGCCACCGCCTTGCGGGGGTTAATAATATGATGGCGACAACGTGGAATAGCACACAACATAAAAGAAAGGTTCGAGGAAGCAACAACATTTTGCAAATAGAAAATTGAAACTCCGGAAATTAAACTGACAATTCAAATATTGATTTCGAGTCATTATCGAAGCGTTTGCAATGCTATTTTGCGAGAAAACAAAATTGCTGATCGACAAAAGCACGAGTATAAGCTCGTGAACCGTCAACCGACGGAACATGAAGAGACGGGAAGCAAAGGTATGCGTGTCGAAGACGCGCCGATGGAAACGCGATTGTAATGAAGTAGAAATGAAACAAAGGATAATGAAAGGAGGTAGGCCACGTGACGATTACAGTAATAAGAACAGAACCGTGCCGCGGCGGTAATGATTGGGTTAGGGACAACCGCTGAAAGCAAAGTGGACAGCCATGGACGTGACATTTATATTTTTCTAATTTACACAATGTAATGGAAAAGCGGCGTTAGCGGACCGCGGATTTTGCGCATTTATTTATACGAATAAGCATTTATTTATTTATACGGATGAAGTGCCAAACTCCGGGGGCGTTAGAAGAATTTAAGAACGCGATTAGGTTCCCTTCAATTTGTTCAAATTATTTGGCAATTTAATAATCAAGGCCGGATACATATGTTGATCTTGCTCCTGTTTGTGACAATTGATGTACAGAATATTCATTTTGCACAATGATCCGCCGTTTAATTGTCAGTGGATCATCATGCATTTATGAGAAAAATGCTTAGCTGTAATATAAAATTGTGAGGGCGTAAAAATAATATAATTGCACTAATATAATAATATAATAATATTATTACACTATTTCCAGTTTATTCCAGTTTATTTAATTTCTTATAAGTTATTTAATTTCAGAATTGTCTGGGAAAATGTTTATCTCGCGCAAAGATCCGCGGTCCAGTTGTGTGCAAATCAGGAGAAACGTCGACGATTTTTGGAAAACGAAATCAAGGAGGACGGACGAAAATTTTCAACGAAGAATCTCTGTTTTAATAATGTTCTTTGTTTACGGATCACAAGAGAAACGACACGAAACCAACAGAGAGATTCCGCACTTACTTTCTTGACTTGCGATCTGAGGATGGTCGGAAAGGTGAAAGTAAGGAAGAACAGTCCGAAACTGAACATGCTCCCGCCGATGATTCCCATTTTTTTCGGCTTCATGGTGGAGATATACTAGGCAGAATCAGAAACGTTAATTTTTCAATTGTTAACGTAGTTCGTCAACGTAATCGTTGGAACTGTTCGGAAGAGTTTGTAAATTGGTCGTCGTCGTAAAATATGTCGTTATAATATAAGTTAGAAAAGCTAAACAGAGAAAGGAGTATATTTAAAATCATTTCTATTTCTCGGGATAAGAGGCAGGTAGATTTAATGCATTACTGGAACGATATCACTTCTGGCAAAACAATAGAAAAATTCTATAGCTCCGTTCACGCGAATAAGTATTATATAAATAATTATCGTCAGTGCCATAACTATTTTAGTAGTTATCACATTAGCACATTAACCCTTTCAGCGTCGAGTAAAATTAAAACGTACGATAGAAGATATATCTACTTCGATGTTACTTTTATGACTTTATATTATATTCGTGTTATATAAATGCTATTCTGTATGAGTCGTGCTTGTATTTTATTCGTATTACGAGTCATAAAAAGTAGAGAAGAATTTGTCATAAATACCGTGGATTAAGCAGTGTGGCTCGCGTGTGTCCTCGCGTATGGACTAAACACTGAAAGGGTTAACACTCTTTTGTATCCTCAATGATCTGAGAACGTGCAGCACAACACAGGGTAGAAAAATACGCATCGAGAAGGGTGAAGAATAATCAAAAAATGTAGCAGGAAAATAATCCAACAAAATGGTAGAAAAATAATCCAAGAAAGTGGTAGAAAAATAATCCAAAAATATAGCAGGAAAATAATCCAAGAAAACGGTAGAAAAATAATCCAAAAATATAGCAGCAAAATAACCCAACAAAATGGTAGAAAAATAATCCAAAAATATCGTACAAAATATCGTAATCCAACGAAACAATAGACAAATAGTCCAACAAAATAGTGGCAAATAGTCCAAAAATATAGTAGAAAAATAATCCAACAAAATAGTAAGAAAGTAATCCAAAAATATAGTAGAAAAATAATGTAATAAAATAGAAAAATAATCCAACAAAACAGTAGACAAATGGTCCAACAAAATAGTGGCAAAATAATCCAAAAGTACGGTAGAAAAATGATCCAACAAAACACTAAGAAAGTAATCCAACAAAGTAGTAAGAAAGTAATCCAAAAATACAACAGTAAAATAATGAAACAAAATGGTAGAAAAATAATCCAACAAAACAGTAGACAAATAGTCCAACAAAATAGTGGCAAAATAATCCAAAAGTACGGTAGAAAAATGATCCAACAAAACACTAAAAAAATAATCCAACAAAGTAGTTAAAAAATAATGCAACAAAACAATAGAAAACCGTATTCGGCTCGACATCCGACGAAATGATGGGTCGTAACCGATCGGGACCGCGAGATCCGGTTTCTATGAAATCTCGGAGACCTTGGAAACGTTCGGTAGCTTATCCCGGAGCTTCCGGCCGGTTGTTACGAACGAGAGCAAGCCCAAAAGCGACGTGTACAGGCTAAAGTTGATGCTCCGACGTAAAAGACGTCCGCCTAAATTGTACGCGAGTCGTGCGACACGCATTCTTTGCCGCGAGAAAACGGTTCTCTTCGCTTCTTCCGGTATTCCGAGACCGTGAGGACTCCTCCGTGGTCCTTAGCGAGCCCTCAATAAAAAGAGAGAGAGAGAGAGAGCGCGCGGGAGAGAGTCCCTAGGAGCAACAATCGCCACGGTTTCCGGTCCCATTCCACATTCTCCATTTCCCGGGCGAAATTGCTGTCGGAACCGTTCGCACACCTTGAGAAAATCACGGATTCTTCGAGACGATGCGATCAAGGATGGCCAAGTTCTCGCGGGCCGGCGATCCAGAGCGGGCAATCTTGGTTTGCCCGCGATCAAGAAAAGACTGCGCGATCCGATCGCCGATACGGTGCCGCGCCGACACCGTTGTCCACTGTCTCCGCCGTGTCTCCATCCCCACTTATGGCATCAATGATTTTTTTTCGTCTCTGCGATACAGGCTTTAGCGCGTTAATACGTGCATTGCTGCCTGGCCACACTTATTCGTAGATATATCTGCGATTTTCTCGGTTTTTATCGTTGAAAAATATTCAGCAATATATTTCTACTTATTTTAATATTCGGTAAATTCTCCCCAATTTTCCTAATGCGATGTCTCTCTAACTGACGCTCAGATTGTGCACGAAAATGTTCTTATCGTTTAAAAATATTCAGCAATATATTTCTACTTATTTTAATATTCGGTAAATTCTCCCCAATTTTCCTAATGCGATGTCTCTCTAATTGACGCTCAGATTGTGCACGAAAATGTTCTTATCGTTTAAAAATATTCAGCAATATATTTCTACTTATTTTAATATTCGGTAAATACTTCCCAATTTTCCTAATGCAATGTCTCTCTAACTGACGCTCAGATTGTGCACGAAAATGTTCTTATCGTTTAAAAATATTCAGCAATATAATTCTACTTATTTTAATATTCGGTAAATACTCCCCAATTTTCCTAATGCAATGTCTCTCTAACTGACGCTCAGATTGTGCACGAAAATGGACAATTTGGGAAGAGGAGATACGATTATTCGAGCCTTGTAGCCCGTTTTTATATAATTGTTGAGAATCAATGACCATAAAAACGACCCGAAAAGCTCGAATATTCGTATCTCCTTTTCCCGCTTTGTCCATTTTTTGTGGACAATTTGAGCGTCAATTAAAGAGACATTACTGAATATTAAAATAAGAAAATTTACTGAATATTAAAATAAGTAGAAATATATTGCGAAGGGGCAACTGAATATTTTTTTAGTTCAACTGAGAATCGAACAATTTTCGGTTTCTAATAAAGCAAGTCTATGGAATTTTGGAATGGAAAAATTTAGAAATGAAATAGAACCGAAAAGAATGAACTCCAGATGTAATTGAAGTATATTTTAATTTTCAGAATTCTAAAGGAGTCGAGGACGTTTTACCAATAATATCGCAGATGCTCGAAAAAGATTAACTTTTCATTCGACACCATTCTGCAGAGTGTCGTGAAAGAAGCCATCGGCAAGATTATGTATTCAGCAATATTTCTCCCTAATGTAGACGTTCATAAGTTACACCCAGACGTGAAGTCAGTAGAAAGTCTTCCGAAGTTCTTTACTTCATTTATTTATAACTTCTATAATATCGACACTTCGCCCGTTGACAGTTGATAATTTTCTTAAAACCACGGACAAACAATCCAGGTCTTTACAGTGATAGTAACTTCAATTTATGTGATAATAATTTCTTCTTTTTAATTCCACTGATTTCTTCGGGAATTTCGTTCACGAGTTTTACGAATTTTTGAACGCGACTGTACATATTCCACATTCTGGAATATATTTTGGAATATTCCGTATTCCGGGGCGTGGAATTCCACGTTCACGATTTTCCCTGTTCCGAGGTCTTACGACCATTCTTTTTTTTTGTTGTCATCGTGACTTTAAATAAGAAGTTACTAACAATGTAATCGAGCGTAATTAGCGACAGTGAATTCCAGGAATCGAACGGACGAGCTCGTTAAAATCTGGTTAAATGATATTTCTGATTTAGTCGGACGTGATTTATATTTATAACTTATTTGGAGAAACACTGTAGTGAACTTACATATTTATACTTATAAATTATTATAATATACTTAATATTATATATATTATTATTACTTATTATTATACTTAATATTATATATATTATATATATTAATATTATATTTATACTTATAATTTATTTGGAAAAAGACTCAAGTGAACTTACGTTTATAATTTGTTTAGAAAAAGACTGAAGTAAAATTACATTTATAATTTACTTGGAAAAAGACTCCAGTAAAATTATATTGATAATTTATTTGGAAAAAGACTCCAGTAAAATTATATTGATAATTTACTTGGAAAAAGACTCCAGTAAAATTATATTGATAATTTATTTGGAAAAAGACTCCAGTAAAATTATATTGATAATTTACTTGGAAAAAGACTCCAGTAAAATTATATTGATAATTTATTTGGAAAAAGACTCCAGTAAAATTATATTGATAATTTACTTGGAAAAAGACTCCAGTAAAATTATATTGATAATTTATTTGGAAAAAGACTCCAGTGAAATTATATTGATAATTAACTTACTAAAAAAGACTTCAGTAAAATTACATTTACAATTTATTTGGAAGAAGACTACTTATTTCTGTTACAATGAAGTCACGTAAATAAAATTTGGTCTATCAACCGTTCAGTCTGTCGGTGTTCTCGAGTTTATCGAATTTATCAACGGGAAAAGAAGAATGTTCATTGAAATAGTTTCTTTCTCTGACTAGTTCAAGGTACGGGTTTATTCCGTAGACGCTACGTAGTTCCTTGGTGTCAAGTGTAACGCCTATTGAACGCGAAGGTGCGGAAGAATTTATTAAATATGAGGCTGCTATAGATCTGCGGCTGGCGAATGTGATCGAAACAAGAAACTCAGCGATGTTCTCTACTATGCACGTCGGTGGCGCGGTTATACCGTGACATCCTACGAAAGTTTAACGCCAGAAAGATACAGTCACCATCACAAACGGTTCCCGTTAAATTGCTAAATAAATAATAATCGACGGACAGACCTTTCCAGCAAACGGGACTTTTAACGAAGGCGAGTAGTAACAATATTCGGTTCATACTTTCGTGCATTTACGACAAACAAAGTCAATAATAGTTCAGTTTGTTATTGATAGACTGCGGATTTTTTTGCATTTATGACAGAAATGCTTAGGAAAAATATTGAACTGGAGAAACATTGGAAATATTTGAGGATATTGTTACGTTAATTTCATCTTATTGCGACTATTGAAAGAGAAAAAGCATTTCCATCTACCTTATATTTCCTGCAATTAACTACTAGGCAATTATAGTTTGATACTTTAATATAGTTTACTTTTTTAAATATAGCTATACTATAATATTAGCTATAATATAGCTACACTATAATATTAGCTATAATATAGCTACACTATAATATTAGGTATAATATAGCTATTACTATAATATAGCTATACTATAATATTAGGTATAATATAGCTATACTATAATATTAGGTATAACATAGCTATACTATAATATTAGCTATAATATAGCTATTACTATAATATAGCTATACTATAATATTAGCTATAACATAGCTATACTATAATATAGCTACACTATAATATTAGCTATAATATAGCTACACTATAATATTAGGTATAATATAGCTACACTATAATATTAGCTATAATATAGCTATACTATAATATTAGCTATAATATAGCTATTACTATAATATAGCTATACTGTAATATTAGCTATAATATAGCTATATATAGCTATATTATAATATTAGCTATAATATAACATAGCTGAAATATAATATATAGCTACGAATATAATTTAATTATAACTAGACAAATATAATTAGATAATTTTTATTCTGCATAAAAATCCGCAATCCAGTTATTAAATACGCGCTATCGAAGCGCTTAGGTTCCACGAGTTAATTAGCATATTCGGCATACAAATAATCTTAGAAATCCATATTTGCGTAACCGTTTACGTTCGTTGACTTTGGCTACAATTTTTATCGTCTACATAAACAATAATTATCGTACATTAAGAAAAATGGCGATCTATCACGATTATGACCTTTATACACCACTAATGCACGCATGCGAGTCCAACAAAGTGCCTGTTACCGTATGCATAAAGACGTGTCTAGGCGTGAAAACAGTATAGCGCCCGCGTTTACTTAAATTATAAGTGAATTTGTAGCCACCGGCAAGGACAAAGTGCCAAGTTATTGGAATAAACGCTATTTCCGTGTTGTGTCGATGAGGCTAAATATTCTATTAACTGACCTGTGCGATATGTATTTTAGAGGTTCTCTAGATTGCGTCCGTGCGCGCGCGCGCGCGCGTACGTGTATGTGCTAAAAGCACTGAAAATTATAGAGGCATGATCGACATTTTCATCGATCACATTCAAAATGGAAAACCATGTTTCTAGTTAACCCGTTCAAGGCTGAATTCGCTATACGTACATACATACACGTATACATACACCGTCGCGAAAACGTTTCTACAGGATGTCCAAGAAATGTCTCGCAATCCAGAAACGGGGGATTCCCGAGGTTATTTGAAGTAACTTTTTCCTTCGGGAAAATGTAATCCGCAGCTTTGTTTACGAATTATTAACGAAAACCGCTGACCAGTAAGAGGTGAGAATTAGCTGGCGCGAGGCGGCCGAGTTAACGAGGTTGATCGAAGCTCAGTTCCGCTGATTGGTTCGGTCGCCACGTGCCAGCCGAGCTCGTTTCTCATTGGTCAGTGTTTTTCGTTAATAACTCGTAAACGAAGCCTCGGATCGCATTTTCGCTGAGGAGAAAGTTACCGCAAATAACCTCAGCAACTCCCCATTCTCGGATCGCGAGACATTTCTGGGACACCCTGTGTAGAGTTTCCGGTTGTCGATACGTTCGCGCGGTTCGAAGAGACGCGGCGACGGAAAACGACGGAAGGCGCGGGAAAATAAATGCTGCTAAATGTTTACAAAAATATCATAGCGGCCGTTATGGCGTTTTAGCCGCCGAGTTTTAATATCGAATCGTAATTAACACTATGCCGTCCGGTGGCACCACGCTGGTGCCATGCGAAAACTATCTGTTGTATGCCGGTGGTGCCACTTTGGTGCTGTTTTAAAAAACTGAAATAACATTTGAACTATATTTCTTGGGTGTAGCAAACTAACTATAGCATTGCGCTTATCTAACTAAGAATTAAGCACGAAAATTCTTGGATGCCATCTTCGACATTTTTTTTTTAATCTAAAATTTCCAAGCTATTATGCCGGCGTCGAACAAATGAATCATATCTAAGATCTGCGGACGGCGTAGTGTTAAGTATATACATATAATATCTTCCAGATATTCCTTGCGCACGTTAACCATCGCCCAGCCAGTTCCCGGTCACTCGTCGTCCCTCCAAAATTTTGATTCGCATCTTTGAAATACAAAATAAAATTACGTCGACATATCCTCCGACCGGAAGCTACGGTACTAAATAATCCAGAATTTCTCGCGCGAGTCGAAGGTGACCAGGACCTAGCCGATTATTATTCCGCCATGACCTAGAGAGACAGGGAAAGGGTGATGACGAAGGACATCACCATTTCAGCCAGCTGTGAGATTTGTGCGCGTGAATGGCGACGGGCACTGGGTAAGGCTTCGGCACGTGGTAGGGCACAGCCACGTGGACCGGGTACGGCCTATCCACGTGGACCACCTTCTCGAAGGGCACCGGATACGGCTTCGGCACCGGGACCGGAACAGCCACTGGTCTGTCGACTGGAACGTGGACGGGTCTGTCGACCGGCACTGGCACCGGTCTGTCGACGTGCACCAGCTTCTCCACGTGGACGGGGTACGGCTTCGGCACAGGAACCGCCACCGGCACAGGAACGACCCGGTCCACTGGAACCGGAACCGCCCTGTCGACCGGCACCGGAACAGCCACGTGCTTCGTCACTGGAACCGCCACCGGGAACGGATGCGGAATCGGCTGCGGGATCGGCTGCGGCACGGGCACCGGCACCGGCTGCGGGACTGGGTGTGGCACGGGTACTGGAATGGCTGCTGCAATAACGAATCAGACATCAGGACGACTACAGAGAGTACGGTTCTACAGAATGTCCAAAAAATTTTATGTAATCCGGAAATCGGGATTCCCGAGGTCGTTCGAAGCAACTTTTTCCTTTGCGAAAATGCGATCCGCGGTTTCGTTTACGAGTTATCGACGAAAAACCGTGATCAATGAGAGACGACGCGCAGCTGACGCCCCGCCCTCGCGACCATTGTTGCGGCGTCAGAGGGCCGGCGCGACGCGGCATTGGCCGCAGGGCGGGGCGCCGGCCGCGCTCGCTTTCCGATTGGTCCGCGTTTTTCGTTGATAACTCGTAAACGGAGCCGCGGATCGCATTTTCGCTGAGGAAAAAGTTGCTTCGGATGATCTCAGGTATCTCCCATTTGTGGACTGCGGGACATTTTTGGGACACCCTTTATAACGTTGCAAAATAATTTAAACACTATCAACATTATCGATAATTTCATACATATATATAAAAAGAACCTAAGTCGTATAAAATAGAAATACTGTAAGTCAGAAAAGCTATCTTGAATTGAAGGTTAAAACGGCCAAACCAAATTATTATTTACCATTAAATAATGCAACATTATTATTACCATTAACCCTCGGAATCGTGATAAATAAAGATATAGAACAATAAAAGGTTAATCATTAAAATTAAAGATTAATCAATTAATAAAAGGTTGATAGTAACAATAATATTGCATTATTTAATGGCAATAATAATATTGTATTATTTAACGATAAATAATAATATTGGCAAGAGAATTGATAAAAGAAGAGGTTGCTCGGTGATATATTTTTGCTTGCAAAATTTCCAAAGATCAACCCTTTGCACTCGAAGCCATTTTAACTCTCAACTTAAAATAGTTTTCCTGCCTTACGATATTTCCATTTTATATGATTTAGGGTGAAAACTAGTGTGTTATCGCTCGCGGATCAAAACAGTGGAATTAATTAAACAATGTTAGACGCGGCTGCTGTAAAATTGTCAGCAGCCATGGTGCTTGATACAAGGGCTCTCATTCTTGTAATCGACTGGAATATTGGAAGTAATACTAAATATATATAATAATACTAATAATATATAATAATAATATATATAATATTATTATATTAATATATTAATATATTATTATTATATATATTATATTATATTATTATTATATATGTTATTATATTATTATTATATAATATATATATAATAATAATGGAAATAATACTAACGAGCTGGGTGCGCTATGGCTGGAGGAGGTAAAGGCGGCGCGGCAGCTTCCAAGTGCGCGCCGATTGGGTAACCGTCGGGCACTGGCGATTCGTAGACAGGTGCTGGTTCAGGGGCCGCGTACACCTGTTCCGGTGGCAGACCGTATCCTAAATTGAGGAGACCTCTCTTGTCGTGTTTCTTGGCGACGACCGAGTCCTCTCTCTCCCGTCTGTTTACCGTGATTGCTGTACTGGCTACCAAGAGCAGCGAGAAAATCTGAAACCGGAGCGAACCGGATAAATATTAAGTACAATAACAAGAGATGCCTCCAAAATGATACCGTTCCGATGAAGATTGTGCAATAAAAATGTATAAAATGTATAAAATTTATAAAACGCGCTTAAATTACAACGAGACAGCCGTACACAAATCCTCTGCGATAAGAAGAACGATAAAATTCGTTTAAAATTAATTGTAAATAAGTTATAAAATTAGATTAATAAAATAAGTTAATAAAAGTAATAATAATAATAATAATATATAATAATATAAATATTATTATAATTATAATTAATATATAATATATATATAAGTTAATAAAATTAGATTGAAATGACAAAATTAAATTAAAATTAAATTGACAGAGTATAAATCACGATAAGTACCAGAAGTAACTTCATGATGGCGGCGCGGCCGGCTCCCGAAATCCTAGTTGGCAGCTACGGGGCCGAAGGAAAACTGCGTTCGCTCGTTGCTTGTGACCCCCATATATATTTATAGGGCACGAGCCGTGGCGAGGCATGGCACTACGAAGACGAGCGGTCGCCGTTGTCAATGGACTTTCGCTGCTGCCAATCCTGGGCGATGGCCAAATAGCGGTCGCGACCGATTTTCTTTCGTGCCGCGAAGAACGAAGACGTCTCTTCCACGGCTGCAACGGCGAATACGGGGGTGGCATCATCGTTAGAAATGACGGCGCGCGTGCAGGAGATCGTCGGATTAGCCGCACGGTGAAAATTCTCTACGTGAACGTACAAATTAATAAGAGGCGCTCGGCCGCCTCCAATCGTGACACGCGTCCGTATAAGCCCGGTTATGCGGCGTTGACGTTACGGTTTTTCTCATCTGTTTCTCCGACATCCTGACGGAAGCATGCCCGCGACCGGCCCGGGAATACTAATGTTCTTTGCGTAAGCGTGAAAAGTGGATTAGACGCCGCGGACGCCTCGGCCGTTGTATCATGAACGCGCGATTAGCATGTCTTTTCTACAATAGCTAGAAATTTGTGCTCGTCGTAGAACATTAAATCGGACTTCGTCGCGAGTTATTTACAATTTTTACGGCGTATTTGATGTAACATCGATGACGACCAAGAAGAGAATATGAAATATACAAGGTTTCTCAAAATTACTGTACGAGCAGGAAATGCGGAGTTCCTGAGATCATTTGAAGCAACTTTTTCCTTTGCGAAAATGCGATCCGCGGTTTCGTTTACGAGTTATCGACGAAAAACGCGGACCAATCGGACAGCGAGCGCGGCCGGTGTCCCGCCCTTGTGGCCAATGTCGCGCCGCGCTGGCCGTCCGACGCAGCGACCGTGATCGCGAAGGCGGGCCGTCCAGCTGCACGCGATCTCTCATTGGTCACTGTTTTTCGTTAATAACTCGTAAACGAAGCCGCGGATCGCATTTTCGCTAAGGAAAAAGTTACTTGAAATGATTTCGGAAACCTCTCATTTCTCGCTCGTACAATAATTTTGGGTAAGGTGAAGATGATAGTAAAAGTAAATCCAATCATCTCACTCTTATGAAACAATATAAATTACTCGCATTTAGGTCTCGGTAGTTTCTGACGTTGAAGATGGACACAGAAGAACGTTTAAACCAACGTAATAAAATGTAGTATCTTCTTTAGAATATAACAAGACCATTACTAAGCTGATGAAGCTTTGTTTCATATTCTCCAATCAATCAGTCCGTACAGAATATTTCCACAAAAATCCGCACTCCAGTTGCAACTGGACATTTCCTCATTTTCCTGGTAAGATAGCGTTTGAAAACGCGCATCGCTCGTCGGCGTTTTTCTGGGGGACGACGCGAGTTGTCGAAACGGCCTCGCGATTACCGCGTCCTGGAATAAATGGCATTCTTCTGGGCAGCGTCGTCGGAGCGCAGTCCTTGCTCCGCTAACGAGATCAACGAGACCAGCCGTAGCTTTTCTTGCACCAGAGGCATTAGCCGGTTTCCGCGTTGGCCGCATCCGCGAACTTTCCTAACTTTCATTTTCTAATACGTCTGAGCCACTTCTAATGCCGGCCGCTACCCGTCATTCATTATTCATTGTTATGCTCCCCGGCGATTCCATAACACGCTCGAACGTGTCCAAGAACGACCCTGTTACACAGTGACGAAATATAGCGGTCAAGTTGGACGCGGCACGAAATTAATTCTCAATTGATTTCCGCCCGAGCCGAGCGAACTCACGATATTTCGTCTTTTCTGTGGATCGAGCTTAATTTGATTCGCCACCGTTTTGCATTATTGAGCACCATGACACCACGTTTCGCTGTGCCTACGTACAATAATCTGTTCTACGTTCTTCTGTACGTGGAACCCGACGTCTGTATGCGCGCATACAACGTTGCAAATTTTATTTGCGCCGGACTGAATCGATGGGCAACTTACACGTGTAAGTTACATGAAGTGCGGTAGAACCGAATTCGCTCTGAAACAAAATTGAGAAATCAACGTTAATCGCATCGATGCATTAATCTCGATCGATAAGAGCATCTCGCCGAATTTTCGCCAGACGAAAACGAATGAAATCATTATTACAAGATATTACCGATATTACAGTCTCGTCGCGTGGATATCGGCTCCACAACGGCGTCTCCCTTTGCCATAAATCAAATGTAAAAACGCCGATCGATATTCCTTGTGATCACCATTACAGGCTTTTGATTTACGCTGAAAGCATAAGAGCGTTACATACAAATTCCAAGTATAGCATTAAACATGAATCAGACACGCCGCGGCTCTTGACCACTTTCTTCACCGGAAACGCCTGGACGAACCAATTGACAAGGCCGAGTTCCTGATCCAATCAAAGACGGGAACTTGACCTGGACCTCTGTCCAGATTCATCGGTCCGCAGAGCAGACCGGACAGCAAATATATATATAAAGCTACCGTTTTCTCGGCGATTCGAACAGTTTCTTCGCAACAAGAGAGAACAATGTCTGTGATCCCGGTAAGAACACGCGAACAGCGTTCAACAAGCGGTGTCCGAGTATCGTTTTTTTTTTGCTTTTTCTCTTCGTGAAGTGATACCGTTCTACGTGCAGTTCCTTCTCGCTTTTTGCGTCGAAACCGTAGATTCTCGTTCATCGTCCGATACGTATCGTCGCGTTCGCCAAGTTAATTTTAAGTGCACGCGCATTTCTTGATTGTCGTCGCCGATCTGCTGCGGAACGTCGCACGAATCGAATACGAGAAACGTTTTATATTCACGGAATTCTTTAAAGCAGCACGTCGAATGGAATTAAATATTTTTTGGTGAACTCGAGAGTCAACTTTCTGGCAATCTGATTGGGCCCTCGAATGCGGAAATAATCGCTTCGACTGCCACGATTTTGTTGTTAAACTTACAAATTTATTGACAACGCGGTCCATTAGGTAAATCAATACTTTTTTAGGATACAATAAAATCTGTCTTTTCTGTCGTTATATTATCGAATGAATTGTTCTGATCTTGTGCGATCTGCGTCGCATCACTGGTGTGGCAGTCAACGCGTTGAAAACAGCATTTAAAATAGTCTATTTTAAAGATTAAGTTAGTCAGAATCGCCATTCATCGATTTAGCTTGAGCAGTACAGTAATGTCTCTCTAATTGACGCTCAGATTGCCCACAAAAATGGACAATTTGGGAAGAGGAGATACGATTATTCGAGCCTTGCGGTTTGTTTTTATAGCTACGAATTGTCAACAATTATAAAAACGAGCCACAAGGCTCGAATAATCTTCCTAAATTGTCCATTTTTGTGCACAACCTGAGCGTCAGTTAGGGAGACATTACTATATACATATTGTCTCAATTGCACACCGAGTTCTCAAAAATATTTATCAAGTCGACTGCGTACTCGACGAATAGAATTGCCTAAAGTGTGAACACGTGTCGCGTTGTTTAACAAGTTGCATCGGCAGAGCGAGAGAAATTACAGAAATTCCTGATAACGAGGCTTGGGATGAATTTAATTTTAGCTGTTTCTGATACTCTTTTGCGGCTCCGTGTTCTCGACGGAAACAACAAGCGAATCTAAACAAAATAAACGAGGTATCCTCGATGCCGGCGGATGGGTTGGTATACCAAATCATCACGGATACGGTCACGGGCTTCCGTGGGCAGGCGATCACGGTTGGAAAGGGCTGAGGTTCCCCTCTTTCGATTTAGCCCACGGAGGGTAATAGCACAAAAATCTTAACGACTTTTCTCTGAAAACAAACAGTCCGATATACATGAATGAAATAATAATTCACTTAGGATTACTTCGGAAGGATAATTCAACGACGCATATTTCTTTTCATATAGATTGTACGGTGGCATACCGTATGGTAGAGCTCCGGCGATTTCTTTGAAAGCGATTCCGGTGTATATCACGAAGCACGTGGTCCTGGAAAAGCCAGTTCCGGTTCCCGAGCCGGTCATCATCGAAAAACCGTATCACGTGCCGGTGGAGAAGGTGATCCCGGTGCCGGTCGAGAAGATCATTCACAAACCAATTCCGATCCCGTATCCGGTACCCGAGGTAAGCGATGCTTCTCGATTATCCTCTGGAACTATTCGACGTTTAAAACTTGGCAGCTAGAATTTCAAAAGTACAGCTTAAATTTAATAAGTTCCATTTTGACGCTTATTGTACATTCATTAACGGGCTATAGATTATATGCAAACCTTTTCACACTTGATACAAGAAAATGTTCGAAGAAATTCAAACCTATTTTCGACCAAAGATATGAGAAGACATCTTTCAAAATTTTAATGCAAAATTTCTTTCCAAGTTTAACCATTTTCCTCGATTGACTCTTCAATATTTCTTGAAACGATTATGAAATCAATTTAGAAAAAAAAGGCAGGTACCTGTAAATATAAAATTAATTAGGTAAACATAGTTCCTATACGCAAACTTAATTTGATAATTTTAATATTCCTATACGCGAACTTAATTTTACCAAAGATATGAGAAGACATCTTTCAAAATTTTAATGCAAAATTTCTTTCCAAGTTTAACCATTTTCCTCGATTGACTCTCCAATATTTCTTGAAACGACTATAAAATCAATTTAGAAAAGGCGGGTACCTGTAAATATCAAATTAATTAGGTAAAAATAATTTCTATACATAAACTTAATTTAATAAAAATAGGTATCTACTCATAAAAAATCGGTAAAAATAGTGTTTTAACGATGGATAATTGTTCATTTCGATTTCTGCTTCGGGCCACTATTCGAACAAAAAGATATTCGGCACTTGCAAAAAGGGATAAGCCCCGAAAATAAAGTACTATGATTTCATAAAAAGAACGTAAATGCATCTGGTACATCGTCGATCGTCGCCAGCGCGAACGATTAACTGAAAAATAAAAAAAGGAAAGAGAAAATGATCGAAGTCCATCGGACGAAATAAAAAGTGTTCGAGAGCATGGTTCTTTGAATCGCTTTCGTGCATGGAATGCGATCGTAAATGTTGCACTGATTTGTTGTGTAGGCAGTGCCGATACCGGTAGAACGGCCGGTGCCGATACCTGTGAGACACCCTGTGGCGGTGCCGGTGCAGCAACCGTATCCGGTTCCGGTGAAGCAGGCATTCCCTGTACCGGTGCCGGTTCCAGTTCCATTTCCGCTGCACCCGCCGCCGTTTTCCCTTTACGGGCCCAGCCCGTTCCCAGGAGGCGTTTACGCTCGCGGTTATGGCGGCGGTCACTTTTACCCGTCGATCCATGGCGGTCACTTCCCGGGACACGGCTACGGGCACGGCTTCGGCATTGGCCACGGGATCGGTCACGGATTCGGCCATGGAATCGGCCACGGCTTCGTTCATGGATACGGCCATGGTTTTGGTCATGAGTTCGGTCATGGACACGGGCATGCCCATGGATTTGGCCACGGCTACGGCAACGGATACGGCCATGGTTATGCTCATCATTTCGGTTACCCCCACGCCCATGGTTCCGAGCACGATCACAGCCACGGGCACGGCCATGATCACAGTCATGGGCACGATCACAAAAAACGGAGCAAAGACTGAACGCTGGAAATTGGGTAAGGATCGAATGAGTCGTCTGTGAACAAATCCGCAACGCTTGCAACAACGTTAGACCGTAAAAAATAATACGTACTGGTAGACTGTGAATTTTCAATCATTTTCATGCATCCATGACAGAGACGAATTATGTAGTTAGCTCACAATACTCGTTTTACTTCCATCCTAGTATGTCAAGATTTTACTTTACCGTCCTAGTATATTAATTAATTGTACTTCCGTCGTAGCGTTCTAAGGTTTTACCATGAACATTTTGCACAACGATTTGCAATCTACGTGATCGGCGATAATCCTTTTCTTCGCGACACATAATGTTTCTGTGAACGACGTAAAGTAGAAATACTTCTTCCTATGCGAGCTAAAAAAAAAACATTTTATACCATGAATTCGAGGAAAAAGGTGTAAGACATTGATAAACTTGGGATAACCTGGATTGAATGAATATGGTGCAGCATAAGTTATTGCCGCTCGGAAACTTTCATGGTACAACGGTGTATTTGGGAGATCGTACGGTAGATGGGAGTTTTATGCCCTCATTTGCTTCTTTCGTGAAGTTTCGGCACCTGCCGAGTGTAGGCGCAATTACGGTTACAATTCGTGATATATATATATATATATATATATTTTTTTTTTATGAATCGAAAGAATCGTTTTACCTAAACATCGTACGGTAACCGAACAATATCATCGATATCGTCCACGTTGTAACGACAGTTATTGATTGCATTATACATAAAATACATAAAATACGCCATAAAATTCGATCGTTGTCTACTGTTAATATATTTTTTTTATAAGACTACGGGTTAATTATTTGACGAGAAAATTTATGAAATTTTTTTAATAATTTGCTTCGGATCTCTGTCATGAGCAAAGTTGTATACGTTAAATTTATTTTAATAATACCATTAACAATAGTAACTCGTACTATTATTCCTAAGTAGTCGATAATATTAATATACAATAATATAAAGATACGAGAAATAATTTTTACTTAATTGTTAAATCTAGGTATAGATGAAGTTCAAAGAATTAGTGATATGTTTTTTCGAACGAAAGTCAGCTACTTTTACGTATATTTCCGATTGTTAAGTTTCGACTGTACCGTCTTTTTTGTTTGAATATGTTAAACATGTGCATGTTTAAGTGAAAATAAATCTATTAAAATCTGATTCTACTTCCTTTTATATTTTATATCGACGAAACGCTGCTCTACACGTACAGGCATATTTTAATTATAACACCTACGTGTTCTCATAAATCGTCGAGTCTCCCTATGGTGTGCATGTATACAGTTATACGCCCTGTTCCTGTGAAAGTGTTTCTCAACCTTTCGTTGAATGCATAAAAGAGTGATGGACCTTTCACATCGTATAACGGCAGTATGCAGCATCGTGAACAACAATATGTTGCATGGATCGAGATAAATGTTCACGCATAAACCGATTTGCGACGAATTCTTCGTCGCATTTTCTCATTTCGAACGGCACGCACGGCTCTGCAATAAAGAAATTTAGAAAGACGAAGTTGAGAAGTACTTTCTGTGTCTCCAAAGACAGGTCATCGGTTGGACGCGCTCCGAAACGTCCTGTCAATTTTGTGTAATCAGAAAACAGCTGATCAAAGTTATTCGTGTGTGAATAATTATAAGGATTCCCTGCACAATGAATCACGAAGGTTCGAAACATTGAATGACGGGGCCCTTTTCCGACATACGCTTCTTTCTCCCCGTCTGCCGATGCGTCTTTGAAGAATTCCACGCAGATACAAATCAATGTTTGCTCCACGAAAAGCATCTCAAGGAAGAATCGAATTAAGTATCTGTGCGTGAGTACGGTTCGTTTGGCCAGTCAGAGACATCGACCAGCAACAATTTCCACGTAATTGTCGTATATTTACGAGCCAGCATCATAAAAGAAGATAATGCGGCAAACGAGCGATAAAAAGGTTATGTTCTACTCCTGAGAATTTACCGTGTAAACATTCCATTATTGTAGTAACGTTTTACCTTTTACATTGCAGTAATCGCTCGAATATACCATAGGAGTCCTGCAGGGATAGAATGTTAACACTGGAGAACGTGGAATGCAAAGATTTTTCAAAAGGCACAATGGAAGATGAGGAAACTAGGGAAGGTAGAATCGATGGAGAAAACTATGAAAAGAACAAGTATCAGATAGCGGGTGAACAAATACTTGGCGCGCCTCTTTTGTCCTCGGAAGATGATGATGATGATGATGAGGAGGACGACGACGATGATATCGAATCTCAGGAGAACGATGTATCCTCTGGGCTACTTTCTATGGAGAATGACTCCGAACTAAATAGCGAGTCTACTATTGCAAATTGGAACAATCTTAAAATGGAGTCACCACTTTCGTGTATGAATTCTGCACCGAACAGTAAAGAATTTTTTCTAATAACTCAATTAGAATCGGATAATGCACTGATGACAAAGAAATTGTCCAGCAAACGTTCTATGACTAACAAGAAATCTAAATCGCAGCATCGTTCTAAAAGACGCAACAAAGTATTATTCTTAAGAAAGTTACTGCCTAAGCATGAGCCGATAGTCGAAATAAAAGAGGAAGAGCATTCGATCATTTCTCCAGATGATCACATGTCATCTATGGAAGAAATAGATTACGAGGGATATGGCATGGATGATAATGTCACAGATTCTAAAGATAACATTGGTCGGATACAAAATTTCACATCTCTGCCTTTGTATTATTCAGAGGATGGTAAACCGTACCTAAAATGTTCAGCATGCGGTGCAATATTTTTCACTTCAAACTCGTTCGAGAAACATTTGTACACGCACATGTACGAGGAAGATGATACTTTTGTATGTTCCTTCTGTGACTACACGAACACCGAACCAGGAATGCTATTTACTCATTTATCCAAACATCAAAATCAGTGTGAATTTTGTAATGAGAACTTGTTACGTAAAAATAATTTTGAGAAACACTGGGACATACGAGGGTCTAATTTTACTATGAAACGAGATCACCAGGGAAGATTTGTATGTATAATGTGCAAGTTAGTGTTTGATTTGTTGCCACAATTGGAGAAACATTGGCTCAAACATGCTTGTAGAAGAGAACGAACCTATCAATGTAAGGAATGTAGCGGATTGTACGAAAGCAGAGAGACGCTAAAAAATCACAAATGCATGAAGTGTGCAATCTGCGGAAAAGTCTATGACAGTTTGCATAGATTAAAAACACACACCATGTGGACAAAGCACAATTTAAAGTGTCCAATTTGTTCTTACGAATTTATTTTAGCCATGGATCATGAAAAACATTTGGCGCTACATAGACAAACGTTCAGTAACATGAAAGATTATCTCCACTGCCTGCAGGCGGCTGACGGAAAAACATTCCAATGCAATCTTTGTGACAAAATATTTTATGCCTTACCTTCTCTTGTGCTGCATCTCCAGGAAGATCACAGCGTTCCAAATGTCAAGCAAGAAGTACAGACCGAAGACGGATATAACGACGATCGAAAAGAGGAATCTATCAGCGAGATGTTACTCCGCCAATTGAAAGAGCAAACTGCAAATTATGCGAATAAAAACAGTAATATAAACACTTAAAAGTTGAAATTCCATAATGCGCTATGATTTTAAGATACTAATACCGGCTGAAGTAGAAAAAGAAAAATGAATACAAATGATATGTAAAGGATCTGAGATTAATATTTAAGAATTAATTGTAATAATAAAATATAAAATGTGCCGTTGACAAGGAGGATCAGTCACTCTGTAGTATATATTAAGTACAATTAAACATGACTGGCGATGAACAACTTATAAATTATTAATAGAGCATGTATTCGATATTATCTGATCAAAAAGTTCTCCAAATAAACTGTATCACAGTTTCACCTCACTTGACACAGGGATGAACATATATAATTGTATATTTTTTTAGCGGTCGTGTAAGATACAGAATGTCTCTCGCTTAACCGGACACTAAATATTGTCACAGAGTCGATAATATTACTTTAAGAATATAACTAAGAATCTCATGCGAATACTCGGCGCGCGGAACTTTTTCGATCAGATAGCGAGGTAATTTTCTAGCGATCACTTGAAACAATGTAATCACAGTGTCATACATTTTCTGTGTTTTGTATTAGAGAGAGATGTAAACATTAAGCTAAATCTGATGTTTGTATATTTGGCTGTATCATGTCTGCCCCTATGTATCGAGAAAGCAATACAGAGCTATCAGTCCTGCTGTGTAGCATAGATTAATTTATTATTCTACCTAATTATTAGACTTCAGATCTTACGCTTTCATAGAATATTCTATAAGTCTACAGAATGTAGTAAAACGATTGTACTGCCGAAGTTTCGGCAAAATTCAAGCTATTATTAAAAGAAATCAATTTAGATTAATTTCCAATTTTTACCAAATAAAGCAGAATGATCTATGTCCGCATAATGATCTGTGGTCTACCGATTACACTTCATTACATGTGTCCGAACATGTTTGTAACATTTTCATGCACTTGCGACTTTCTATGGGATTTTATTTAGAAGTGCGCAGTTTCGTTTTAAAATTACTGCACAATTGTCCGGGGTAAACATGATACGACTAAAGTTTTGAATGACTGAAAAAACGTTTGGAGTTCGCTGTTCGTATTAGTTTTATGAGTACTGGTAGAATTTCATAAATACATCGGTAAATCTTACGGGTTACAATCATTCGTAAGTCTGATCATCGGTAGGTCTGTGTAATACGCACAATAGCTCGCATAAAGAATTAGATCTCTTAACTATCCTCTGTGAAAAATAAATATCCATGAGTAGTAACATTTTATTTGTACATGTTCATTTTTTTTCATCTTTTTTTTTGTCAATTTCTTATCAAAGCTGAAATAAGAGTATGTTGCGCCTGTTAAGTTCTTGAAATCACGAAGTTAGAACTTTGTTAGTATACGATCCGATCAATATCGATCGGAACTGCTAATATTTTCATACAAGTTCTTATTTCTCGACAACAAGAGCAAAAATATCTTGAAACATGCAGTTACTTGACATTGCATTGTATGGTTGTTGTTAATACACGTACACATATATAGAATCATTCGAAGGTCCACGTAGGCTTCAATGTTTTTCACACCGTTGCTCCCATTTCCGTTTGTCATTTACGGCTCCGTATTGTTTCATATACGAGATACCTGATAAAACTAAATAACTTGATCATGCTGACTCTTCAATAAGAATGACGTTCAAGGGCATATCATACCCTTCAATAAATAATATAGTAAATGCTAAAGAGAAATTAATCTTCAAAGGATTACGTATGACCGCGTTGTTAAGGTTTTGCCAGGTACTATACAACGGACCATTCATATTATTTATATGTATAAATTCAGATTCACAAAAATCATTTTATCTCCATGGTGCTGGTTACCCACGAGAATGAAGTTGACGTCACTGTGTCAAAGAATTTGTCAAAATCTCGAAGAAAAGATTTATTCGATGTTGTCGTTTAGTTAATAGTAGAATATTACACGTCGTTATATATCACGTTATCTACATTAGCCGTATCAAGTTTATTCTGCAAGTGTAAATAGCATCATGGAAAATAAAATATTGAGATACATCCATATATTAATTAGATCATTGATTACGGCCGGAATTCGGCAATGGTTAGTGACTCGCTGACCCGCAGCCATTACCACACGAATAAATACAAAAGAAGTAACGACACAATCGGATTGGGGATTACTGTTTGCTTCTCAACCGACGGATGGTGGGGTCCCTTTCGACCCAGCGTTTTAAACACTATTTTCAACGTCCCGTCTTCTGCCGGTTAACTTATGTGTTAGTTATTTATATTAGGTGATAGACTCGATGTGTGTCTTAGAGAAGTAAGCTCGATAATATTTCTAGAAAAAACTGACGAGTAGATTACGGATCCCCGTGCGAATCACCATTTTGAATGGAAATTTTTATCATTGTCGCAATATTTATAGTACTTTTTAATATCATGTGAAAAAAACAATAAGAACTAAAAATACGTCTTTCGGCGACGAGACTCCTTGGTAAAAATAAAAATACTATAAATATAATTGCATGGATTTGCATGTACAACAATAAAGGTATAAAAATCCGCAATCTACTGGCGAGAATTCGAATAGATTTAGGCATTCGCCGCTTACATATGTAGTAATTAAATACGTGTCCCATCCGGAGGTGAACCAAGAATAGTTAAGAAGCAAACATCGGGTTAGTAATGCCGTTAGAAAAAACCGTTTAACATCGAGAAAAGAATGACTTGTTTTTTGTTTGTTTTTTTTCGTTTCAGTGCGATGAGATTCGTTTCTGGTTTCCCCTTAAGCCTTGATCCACTGTTCCACGTACTCGAGAGCGGCTAAGAGAATCTTCTTCTCTGTTACTCTCAGCTGGATGGCTAACTTCTTAATTTGCGGTAACGATGTCTCGAGTAATTGCAGATCTTCCTGAAAAAACCGAAACGAAACAGAAGAATGTAATTAGTGAAAAAGACCGTAATGATCGCGATTTTAACGCCGATAAGGAGCCGTAACCCGCATCGCGGATTATATTTTCGTTTCACTTTCACCTTCAGAGTCGTCGGGTAATTAGCAATTAGGAGCTGCAGCCTGGTAAGCAGAAATTTCCTGACGTTCTCCTCGACGACTGTCTCTAGAGCGCAGTCCATGTGCTTCAAATCGTTGACCCGGTCCGAGCGGAGCCAATGCGTCAGTTCCTGTTTACGCATGCTGAACACCCTGAGGAATGCCAGTAACAGATCCGAGATTGGCTCTGTTCCTGGCTTCAACAGGAACTCGCTCATCGATGGTAGGTCCAGCTTGTTCAATAACTCGATACGCTCCCTTTGCAGGGAATCGGCTTTGCTGATCCCCAGACGAAGTTTAAAACCATCCTGAAGGAGTACATGTCACTTAAGCAACTCGTTAATAAGCTAGCTGTACGCTACACTCTTAAGAAACAAATGCCAGAATTAATTTTGTCTCATTTGGAAAACCATAGAAACATCCTCAACCCTTAACTGATATACCCGGATCATAAGTAACCCGAATATTGTATTTCTATATAGATCTATCATTATAGTAATATAATAATAATAATATTATAATATATAATATAATATAATATAATAATTATAATATATAATATAATATAGTATAATAATTATAATATATAATATAATATAATAATATATATATAATACAATATTATATTATAATAATGTTAAAAAGCTAAGTCTTGTTTCGAAGAACGCGTGCAGGAATTAGTAGCGAATTATTACGAGAAGTTTTGTAATCTAATGGTTAATAAATCTCGCATTATTCAGGACAGCTGGTTGCATTTTCTCGATGACTGATATTACTTCTTTGTTGTCCATATAAACGAATCCGGAGTGAACGAAGAAGTCGGAATTCGTTCTAGGCCCGTAGCTAATGAATATTTGCTCTCCTTTCTTGAAGTTCCTCAGAGCGTAACACTCGCAGCAGTTGGTCGTCGCATTGAAATCGGTGGTGATCTGTAACGAGACGAGGCGAACATGAAATCGCGCGTCGTCATTAGCGATGGGTATTCGAGTCGCTCGAGCGTGTTAGGGTCGAACTTTTAAACGAAACTGTTCGAACAGCATCTCCAGCTCTAGTAGCCTCGAATCAGAGAAACCGATTAATAGCTCTGCAAACTGGAACCGGCACGAGCATTTTAATTGATTGGTGTTTCTTCAGGAAGAAGAGAGTCGTTTTAAAACGACAGGCTTCAGCTGTTTTTAGCTTACAGTGGGATTCTGTTCACAGATGTTGAAGAAGATGTTGAAATGAAGATCAAACCGTTTGGCCTAACTTCGAGCATACTCAAAATTCAAGCAATTCGAGCTTTGAGCTCTGAAGTTGCTCGAGGTTAGATCGAAGAGGTTAGAATCGAAAGCTGCTCGGGTTCGAATCCAAAATACTCGAAGACCCATCGCTAGTCGTAGTTAAAGCCGTACGGTCGATCATGATCGTGGAAACTCACTCTTCCGTTCACATGATTGCACATGTCCCACATCGGGATCAAAGCGTGGATCATGCGTGAGCCGTCCTCGCTCGGAATTAGGTTCTGCCTCGTCATGATCGTAGAAACTGCCCAGCTGAAACATCAATTTCGTTGATAAAATACGAGTTTAAACGTCGGTATACTGGCTGTCGGATGGAATCGCGTGTACATTCTTATATACAATATATTTGATATATATTTGATTATATATATAATAAATAATAATATATATTAATATATACTATATATTATACATATATTATAATATAATATATATAATAATATTAATATATATCATATGTTATATTATACTTTTCAAAGCGAAAACGTACATATATATATATAATAAATAATAATATATATTAATATATACTATATATTATACATATATTATAATATAATATATATAATAATATTAATATATATCATATGTTATATTATACTTTTCAAAGCGAAAACGTACATATATATATATAATAAATAATAATATATATTAATATATACTATATATTATACATATATTATAATATAATATATATAATAATATTAATATATATCATATGTTATATTATACTTTTCAAAGCGAAAACGTACATATATATATATAATAAATAATAATATATATTAATATATACTATATATTATACATATATTATAATATAATATATATAATAATATTAATATATATCATATGTTATATTATACTTTTCAAAGCGAAAACGTTCGCTTTCCAGAATCGAAATTTCTTCAAATGTGGTCCACATATTAATGAATATACGTAATGCTACAAAATAATAAACAGATACGATGAGAAAAATTACGAGACCTTTGTAGTAAGTTTGATAAAAAAAAGCATTCAATACTTTACGCAATCGTATCGCATACACGATTCAAGTGCAAAAGTATTATATTCATGGGCCTGTATAAAAGGAGAAAGCATGAGCCAAAAAAGTGCAACTGGATTTTCAGATTATTCTAGAACGTATAAAATGCATATAATAAAAAATTGTTATGTCCATTGTGCAAGTATTCTAAACGTGTCAGTGGGGCGCATCAAATGTCGTGTTTATTGTTCTCATTCTCTATTGTTCATTCCTTTAAGTATGCGTCTGTGTTTGTGTTGTGTTTGTGTGTGTATGTGTATGTGTGTGACTGCGTTAAGTAATTTTGCAGAGCGATGAATGAACGAAAGTTGAATGGTGAAAGAAAGGACGATAATCTTGATAACAATTCCAGTTCACTGTGCATGTCGTTTTATTCTTTTCGCAGGCGCGCATCTATTTATTTATTATACGATCAATTTTTCATTAATAACGAGTTCACCGTTGCTGCTTTTTCTGGGCTCGTTGCTACGTTTATTTTATTTATATATAATAAAATATAATATATATAATATAATAAAATATAATATATAATATAATATAATAAAACATAATATATAAATATATAATATATATAATATATATAATAAAAAATCGTAACAAAATTATCGTTGTAGGTTCAGACAGAAGAGTCAAATGTTTAGTCCAGTTCTAAAAAAGTTGTTGCGCATTGAAAAGAGTCCGCATATTAACGGGAGTCACCGTATATTAATTATGCCACGATGCCGAAAAAAGCCCGCTGAAACGAACGTATGTTTTTACACAGCTTCTTACAGGATCGTCGCGAGATACACAGGGTGTCCCAAAAATGTCTCGCAATCCGGAAATGGCGGGTTCCTCGGATCATTTGAAGCAACTTCTTCCTTTACGAAAATGTTCTCCGAGGCACCGTTAACGAGTTATTAACGAAAAACAGTGGCCAATAAGAATCGAGTACGGCTGACGCGAGGCGGCCCGGCCAACCAGCGCGCGAAGCCCGGTTCCGCTTATTGGCTCGGTCACCTCGCGCCAGCCGAGCTCGCCTCTCATTGGTCACTGTTTTTCGTTGATAACTCGTTAACGGTGCCTCGGAGAAAATTTTTGTAAAGGAACAAGTTGCTTCGAATGACCCGAGGAACCTGCCACTTTCGGATTGCGAGACATTTTTGGGACAGCCTGTATTTAATATCCGCATAGCCAACAGGAGGATTGGAAAGGAATGATTTCTGCGAGCGGCGGCGGTGGCGCGCGTTAGGCGACTCTCCCCAAGATAGAAATTTCACGAGAAAAAAGGAATTCACAGATCGACGTTTCGTCGGCATCGAAATCGTGAAGACGAAGACGAAAGAAAAGGTGGAAGTGACTTTCGCCTTCGAGAGAGAGGCACGGGAGGCAGCGACCGGCCATGGGTTGGTTTTCGGGCAAGAACTTGACCCACAATTCCGGAAATGGAAGTAAAAGAAGATTCATTGCCATCGGGCGTCCCGCGGCGCGCGCGGTTCCCTCGACTTTCTCTCTCCCCGAGGAAGCGTTCGCGTTTCACGCGTGCATGGCTCGAGGACGTGTCGGCCTAGGAGGAAACCGCCGCGCCGTGTGCGCGCCGAGGGGAAATGGCGGGCGTCTTTATATGGCCACGTGAATTTTAGACAAAGCCTCGTAAAACCGGGAACGAGAAAAGGAGAACAGAAAACTATTTTAATGTCCGTTCGCTTTCTAAAATACCTGACAACAAGTCGCGGCACTCTCGGCGCATAAACTTGCGAGTTCTTTATTATTATTTTACGAGTAACATAACCTCTCGAGCACGCTTTCGACCATAATCGTCCGCGATCGAACTGCTGCAGCGCGACAGTTCTTTTAAAAAGATAGGATAAAAATTGTACACGTTAAGAAATAAAGTAAAAATAAGAGCACTGTCACAGAAAACTTAAACATAAGAAAGGAATAAAGTGTATAAATAGTGTACAATGCAATAGTGTGCAAACTAGACCGATCTGTGATCCGTGATGCACGCCAAAATAAGGAGGAGAGAAAATAGAGTATTATATTTTATCATAAGACAATGTTTTACTGGATAAGTAAGGTAGGGAAAATGTTTATAGAATTTTTATGGAACAGAGCGAAGGAAAGATGGCGAAGCTCAGGTTGTAAAATGAAAAATGCGGTCGAAGAAAATAATACAGCGTGCAACAGTCCTAGTCCGAGCACGATAAAGAAAGACATTGGATACGAAATAAAAGTATACTTTTAACGAGGCAACGTTATTAGACGCTCTTAGCTTTTGTTGGCGATGGATATCGACGGCATGAATATTCGTTGAGCTTATCGTGAACACCGATCGGCTCGCACTCTATTGTTTCGCTAATTTTCACAGACGTTTCGTACAAGTCAATTCGAAGATAGCTGTTTTGTACAGGCCGTTGAGCGCGTTCGGTTGGAAAACCGCTGTTTCGTGTCAGGAGAAATGACCGTGTAAATATTTCAAAAGGTGGTACACGTACACGTTGCTCGCGGAGGCAGCTGTTATTAAAAGAAATTCGGCTTTATATCTGTTTTCTCCTCGGAACGCAATCTAAACGCGGCGATCTAGCCGGTCTTGTACACTTTCTTGCCGGGAGATCACCGTCCAACGGGACAAAAGTGGACAAACGAAAGCTCCGATCGTATTGTCGAGATCGTTCTGGTTGTCGCACGGCTATTAGATTACTTCCTCTCTTACGTAAAGAAGAAAATCTGTCTCCAAACGCGGACGACATGATCGATGAACGCGGCGCGCGCGCGAACCTGCGCGATCGCTGACGCGTGAAACAATCGTTTCGACCGAACAAAGAATAACGGCAACGGAAATCACGATCAGGGTCCTATAAGCCGCGCGACTGTTACGCAACATTTAAAATTCAAATGCGTCGATTAAATCGAGAACTCGCGTTTTCTACGCGTGTTTATACTATACTTATTTCTAATTGTCCTCGAAAACGTCTACTTTGCGTAAGTCTGGCGATTAATAGAAATCTGGTAGGATTTGAATTGGTTGGGGAAAAGTAAACACGCGACTTTCGAGTTCCACGCGGTCGGTTATATTGTATTTTGCATAAAGATTTAATATTAACGGGCCAAGTGGAACTCGAGAGTCGCGGATTTACTTTTCCCAATCGATTATTCGAATCCTGTCCAATCTTTATTAAACGTTGTGCTGTGGATTTTATGCATTATTTTTAAATAATTGAAATTGTTAAGAGTCGGTTATATTATATTTTGCATGAAGATTTAATATTAACGGTCCAAGTGGAACTCGAGAGTCGCGGATTTACTTTTCCCACAATCGATTATTCGAATCCTATCCGATCTTTATTAATCGCTGGACCGCGAATTTTATGCATTACTTTTAAATAATTAAAATTGTTAAGAGTCGGTTATATTATATTTTGCATGAAGATTTAATATTAACGGTCCAAGTGGAACTCGAGAGTCGCGGATTTACTTTTGCCAATCGATTATTCGAATCCTATCCGATCTTTATTAATCGCTGGACCGCGAATTTTATGCATTACTTTTAAATAATTAAAATTGTTAAGAGTCGGTTATATTATATTTTGCATGAAGATTTAATATTAACGGTCCAAGTGGAACTCGAGAGTCGCGGATTTACTTTTCCCACAATCGATTATTCGAATCCTATCCGATCTTTATTAATCGCTGGACCGCGGATTTTATGCATTATTTTTAAATAATTAAAATTGTTAAGAGAAAGGATACACTGTTACATCGATGTCAATGTATTAAAACTATTGAAACAAGGAGTACGTTTCTATTCGATCGCCGCTTCCCACGATTAATGGACAACATTTTTATTTTCGCATAAAAATCCGCCGTCTTATCAGTCGCGAAGAATATTCATCGGTGAATAGAAAACCGCGCGTTGCGTCACGACTTTCTTTCAGCCGATGAAACAATTCTACAAACCGTGGCCGTTAATTAAAAGCCACTTTTTTTCGCTGGAGAAAACAACTTCTTAGCAGATTCGCGTTTATGTAATACGGTTCTCCGATTTTTGCTCGCGCGGAGCCTAACCGTAATAGCCTAACCGCGCTAGATCAACGCTAGAACTAACGAGCCCTAAACGCGACTAATGCATATGCGTTTACGACAAAAATGACCAACAAAACTATCGAGCTGCGAACAGATTAGAAAAATGCATTTCTATTTAATTTACATTTAACACAATTTACCAATT